GGAACTGTTTAATTGTTTTCGTTGCAGTATGTTTGCCCTTGTATTTGTATTTGTATTGCCTATAGAGTGGCGCAATAAGAATAAAAATACCACCGTTCGATTCAGTGTAGGAAATTGTACTTACGGATGTCAAATGTATTACTATAAACATCAGTATTCTAGCGATTTATGGCCTTTGAAAATCAAGCGAAATTGAATTGTTGACAAATCGCTCAAAATTATCAATTATATAAACTAATTATAAAAAATGCAGTAGATTTGATCCTTGATAACTTTGGTATCGTTGGTTTTCTCTTTTTCAGCCGTATACCCACTGGTATTCGATTCGTCTCACTTCTCTCTTCATTTTGATAATAATTATTTTGAGCCCAAAAGCCCCAAAATATTTTATTTTGAACGTTTTAAAGCGCAGTTTAATCCTAGCGTACGGACCAACTGGCGGCGGTAGCGTACTAAATATAACTTTACTTGTAGGCAGAAACGCCGGGAAGTTTTATTTGTAGGGCATCAAATTGCATTGTTAAGCCCGTTTCGCGCTCATATTCGACTTTTCCGCTTAGCTCGGGGACAACCTTAAATCTTAATTGAAATAAAGTAGCTGACTAGCTGTGTACTGTTGTATCATATACAGTAATGTGCGTATTTGTATAGCCCCAGCGATCGAGCGTCTTGTTTTGAATAGTTTTGAAAGACTTTTGGACACTTTTTTGCCGTTTGAAACTTTGCTCACGTCGCAGGGCAATAAGAATTGCGTATTGCCCATGGGCCAGACGGGAAAATCCTGCCTTGTCAGCAGCCAATCAAATTGTGCGATTCATCAAAACAAATGCTTGCCATATAATAAATACTTTTATTACATAGCTGAAAGATTAAAATCCGATTATATGTTTGTGTTGTTTCAGAAAACTGAGAACCTATGCCAGAACAATGGGAAAACATGTCGCACAGGTAAGATCTAAATTCAAGTCTTTTCCAACGTAATAAATAAAACTATCTAGTTGCATGGCTAAAATTATAGAGAAAGATATAATTCATGCAAAACCTTCACAAGAAATCCAGAATTTGATCCATCACATGTTCATGATATTGATGAATTACAACAAGTTGAAACCAAAATTTTTAAAGCTTGCAATTGTAACTATATTTATGTATAGTGCTATCATAATTAATAATTAAGGTGTTTATTTCTTATGAGATGTAATATTAAATTTATTAAAATTCCAGTGTTGCATGCAAACTAACTTGAAATTAGTGCGGCTGTGTATTGACGCGATCAAGGCTGACAACAATTGAAAAATTGAAAGATAAACACGAACACGAGAACTTGCGAAAACTGGCAAGAACCACACAAAAAGACATATTAATAGTTTCAATAAAAATGTAAATGCTTTTTTCATGAACGTGGTAGCAGAAAAGCATTGGGAAAAAACTTCGGGGCAAATATTCATTAACTTCACATTCTTCCTACAAATTCTCATTTGTTCATTTTGTTGATACGTCTTCAAAGTCATCTTTAGTCCTGAATACATCTCTCGCCGTACGTCCATATTACACAAACAATAATACGACAAGTATTTGCTAAGACATCTGATTGTGCCAGTTCATCGCCGCCATGCATTATCCTTTATTTATCAATGTTTTACTTTGTTTTCCATAGATCCTACTTGGTTTGCATTTAATCAAAGTTATTTTCTGTTTGTGACAACTCCAATCCCACAAGAAGAAGCAAGAAAAGCTTGTCTGGAAAAGAAAGGTGACCTGGCATCCATATCGAGCGAGGAAGAACAGTCATTCCTGTTTAAAACGTTTGTGGAAAAAAATTCTGATTGTGAGTAATGATAAATTCAAAATGTCCGATAAAAACAGATAGATCAAAAGTAATATGTGGTTGATGCAGTTATTTCGCTTGTTATGTTATGTAGCGGACAACCATCTCCTTACTTGCAACTAATTGCATGGACACGCTGCTAACAACTTAACCAGAAAATGTTGAGAAAAGTTTTTAGTATATTTTTTTCGAACAGAATAGGCTGTTTGCTGTGACCTCGAAAAGTTGAGTTTACTTTCGAACACGCTGAGTTCAAATTCGAAAACTTCCCGCACCGTATGCATGGACCTGCAGTTTTCTCGCAAAATATTTTCGCTAATTTCACAACAATTTTTTTCATTGTTCAACGACATGGACGGATGAACGCACGATTGCATAAATTAAAATGACTAATTTCTATGAACCAGTCTCTACATTGAAGAAAAGACCGTTTCGCTTGGATTATTTCAAGTTATGTATTACATTTTAAGCGCGTTGGACGTAAACATACACGTACATCGCCTTTATTTAAAACACGGTAAACCTTCAGTAATCAGTATTACATAATGATCTAAATTATTCTAAACTTAAAGATATTTGGATTTACAATATATATATATATATATATATATATATATATATATATATATATATATATATATACATATATATATAATTTCGCTTACCTCAAAATTCCGCAACAGTCTGTTTCATCAGTAAAGAATCATCAGGCGGTATGACAAGTTTCGAAAATAGGGCTGCTTATATGTGTTTTGGCCGGAACGTGGGGGTGTGTGGGTGAAACAAAGCATGCATTCATCTATTGTTTGCGTTGTTTACGCGGAAATGCCTAATCGCATTGTGGGAGTGTATTGTTTGCGTTGTTTACGCGAAATTTCTTCCTATGTCTGCACGTAGATATAATTTCCATTCTTTTATTGAGTAAACGGTTTTGGTTTTCTTTCAAAATACAAAATTTTTCGTCTAAACATAAATTACATCGTTTTGATCCGCCCGTATACGAAATAGCGCGTTTCAAAATTTGCCAATTGATATTAAAATCTTTCTTGCTATCTTTCAATGTCCAAATATATTTCGAAAGTTCAGTTTTGTTCGAGTGCTCTTTATGCTCGAAAGTATAGTTATGGTTAGCCAAACGCTCTTTAAATGTAGTTGATGTCATGCCAATATAATTCATGATCGTGTTAGGGGTGCTTGTTGTGACTGTTGCTTTGTATACTATGTCCTTAGTCATGCATTGTTTCTGAAGTGGGCGAACAACTGCAATTGCAGTGCCCTTGCCCTGTGCCTTGTTCTTCCTAGCTACGCATGTGCAGTGTGCTTAGTGATTATAGACTTAACATTGCTCATGCAGCTATAACTTACTTTTACTGTATTTCTGTTAAAGATCTTATGCGGCTTGTGGTTGAAATGCTTGTCAATAAGGTTAAGAAAATTACGCCCTATATTAGTGCTGACATTCATGCTAAATGATGGGTTGAACCAAATGATATTACGCTGCCTATTTCTGCGTGCTTGCTGTGGTGCGTGTTGAGTGTAGTTAAGTTCATGATTGAAGTTGCTATGGTCAAGTGCGTTTTGGTATGCAGGTGAAGATTCCATAAATGTTTGCTCATCTGATGAAAGCAGTGCAATGCGCTTGTTAATTGATGTAGGTAGCTGCCTTATATAATGCTAGGTGGATGGTTAGAGTACCTTTTTATATATAGCGGATCGTCATTGGGCTTCCTATAGGGCCTATATTTTCCGTTGTTAATTATAAGATCGAAAGTTACATCTAAGAAGTTTGCTATGCGTAAATTTGATTCGGCGGTAATTTTTATGTCAAACAGCTCGAAAATTTTGTGGAGTTCTTTCCTTGTTTTGTCTGCTAAACCTGCCGATTTACTATTTATAAGGGCCAAACCGTCGTCTCTATATAGACCGATGCTTTCTTTGCCAAACTTCTTACTTAGATGATTTAGGATGAAAAGGCCAACTAATTCACATATTTCGGCGCCATATGGCTGCCCATGGTAACGTCAAACAAACCTGCACTATCTTTTTTAGTCCATGGTTTTCCGGTGTTGAAAAGCAGAGATTTTCTGGCGTGTTTTATAATCAAAATATCATTATCCGAAATGGTAGTTAAATTAGAAGCATAAGATAATGCTTGGTCCAAAAGTTTTTCCGAAATGGATGGGTAAAAATCAACGATGTCAAACGAAATAAAACTATGTCTTTCTTTGTCTTTTATATTTCCAAACCATTCAATTACTTGTTTTGTATTTCTCCACTGGTTCAAATTCATCTAATATAATTTTGCTCAATTTTCCTGATTCGCTTTTAGCGGGATTAATTAGCCGACATTTTGGATTGTTTTCAAAATTTTCTTTGTGGTCTTTTAAAGATATAAATGCTTCACGTTTTTTCATTTTTTCAATTTTGTCGCCGATTCCTAAATTGTTCGAAATGTCTTTTAGTTCAGAGTCAATTTCGTCTATAGTGTCCTCGGATCCATGTTTATATGTTTTTGTAATGTTGTCATGTAAGAGCTTGTTGTATGTGTCGAGCGAGGCTTCATAAATATTTCTAGTTTTGTCTGCAAATATGAAAATGTTGGGAGATGAATTAATTTTCTTCAAATCGTTACCCAAAGATTTCTGAAAATGGTTTTTCCCTGGTCGAAATTGTATATTTTCGATGAGTTTTATAAGGTCGGTTTCGAATAGCCTGCGTGCAGCCTGACTTTAAATGGAGAGAAGTCAGTCTGCGAATCAGAGAACAATACCGTGTTCGCGCCATCTTTTGAATTGCATGGATTTCTGTATTCAAACGTGATTGGCTATTGCTCAGGAGCCTAATACACACGCTACGATTGGCCAATTCGTTAATATACATTTAGTTCAAACAACATTCCAGAATGAAAAATATGGCGGACAAAATCACAAAGAGCAATGTTGTGTGTAATTTATGCACGAAGCACATACAAAAGATATGAAAGCGTTCTCATTGAGGTTCCCACGACGCCATTTTGCTAAATATATTATTTTTTTGAACTGAATCTATTAACGAATGGCCAATCGTAGCGCCTGTATTAGGCTTCTGAGCAATGGCCAATCACGTTTGAATATACAGAAATCCATGCAATTCAAAAGATGGCGCGAACATGGTATATTGTCCCCTGATTCGCAGACTGACTTCTCGCCATTTAAAGTCAGGCTGCACGCAGGCTAGTTTCGTTTAGCAGACTGATCATCATCGTGTGTCGTCATCGATCCGTGTCGTTGAACAATGAAAAAATTTGTTGTGAAATTAGCGAAGATAAAAGCAGTTTGTGCGGGAAGTTTTCAGATTTGAACTCAGCGTGTTTGGAAGTGTTAGTTCCCATAAAATATTTCAGTTCCAAGACATGCGTAATGAAAGTGAACGATAACGGGACGCAGCAAACGGCCCAGGAATTTTAACTAACGGACTTTTTCCAAAGGGCAAAGGGACAATTTTCCGAGAAAAAGAGCCGATTTTTTCTGAACTTTATTGGGTCGCTTACACTATATATCAAAGTTTCTGTGATAAAAGTTATTGTTGACTTTGAGCTATGCTCAAAAGATGCACATGATTGGGGGGCTAATATCCTAGGAGATTCACCCCCTTTTGAGAGGGGGCGGATCTCCTGGGGGAGGGGCGAAAATCCCGTGACACCGGGTTTACGAAAGTGTTAGGTATTAACATGTTGGTAACACTTTTCCACACCTATTTCAATTTTAGCAGGTAATTATGTGTGGATTGGCCTTAATGACATTCCTGAAGAAGGCACGTTTGTTTGGACAGATGGTTCTCCAAACACCTATGCGAAGTTTACTGATGGTGAACCTGATAACTACTTGAATAGTGAGGACTGTGTTGTCATATCAAAGATTAGCAGTGGAAATTATGGTGACGGCCCCTGCGGTACCCCATTGCCGTTAATTTGTGAGACGAATTATGAGTTTCTTTAAGCATAAATATCCAAACTAAATGCGGCATTCCAGTTGAACATTCTTCTTCAGAAATATAACATTTTTCTGAACTTCTTGGTTATAGCGCCTATATTATTTTCTTATAAATGTTACTCAAATATTTTAATTCTTTTCCTTCCTATCCAATTCATGTTTTGCCGGCTACGAAAGCAATTTCCCGACAAATTCGTTATTTTTTCCGAAAAGACCTTTTTACCCCCCCCCCGCCCCCTCTTAGCTAAGGAACTGCCTTCTTAAACAAGGAAGCTGCTTTAGGTATTGTGATATGCTCACAACAGCTTCCTTGTTATTTAGTACACAAACTTGATTTACAGGGTTTTCTATGTTTATGATATTTTATCTTAATTGGAATGCGAATTTGTCTAATCTGAAATAAATTGCCGCTTATAGCTTAGCCTAGATGCACAAAAATCCTTCCAAAAATTGAAGGGAATCCAACTATTGAGGTTTATAACAAACAGATTAAAGATGCAGCATCTAGTTTTGTGCATGATTTAAATATTTGGGTACGTCCGGTCTGCGATTGTATGCACACATTGGAGTCTCCTGCCGTGATATAAACACTTTAATTATGTTTTTATTTCATTTTATGTTCTTGGAAAGCCTATATTAATGTTGTATCTTGATCATTCATTATACTGTAGAAGCAAGAAAATATATAAATAGTTGTCGAATACGTTCAATATTATGAATATGAAATGTAAACAAAGATTTCGTTTTCATACTGTATATATTTGCAATGGATGAGTTGCCGGTTCGCAGACCCCTTTTGTTTTGCGCGGCCAATTGCCCCCTGGCGATCCCATAATACATTGTATTATTTGCAAATGCAATGTATTATGGGATCATCAGGGGGCAATTGGCCGCGCAAAAAAAAGGAGGCCTGCGAACCGGCAACTCATCCATTGTGGTAAATTATAGTTATGTAAAATTAAATATCGGCCAAATAGTTTCTGCTATTACGTACGTGTAACTCGTGGAATACAGCATTTAGCTTTCAGG